TCTGCTGGGTGCCCCCAGCCCCGTGACTGTCCTGTGCAGGCCGAGGCCTTGGAGGTATACAGCCGGAACAGCTGTGATGGCCGCAGCCCAAGCCGGCTGCCGGCCACCTCCTGGGACCCTGCAGGGACTCCAAGCGGCACCTGACTCACAGAGCCCAGGTTGGAGGTCAGAGGTCAGCCAGATGTTAGCAGGCTGTGCTCTGGGCGGGCGGAGTCCCCAGCTGTGCCTCTGACGTGTCAGCGCGGAGGCGTATTGTCCTCTCCCAGGATCCGTAAGGGACCAGTTTCCGAATGGAGCCCCACTCAGGTCCTGGGAGTTAGGACTTCACCTTGCCTCTGTGGGCACGGCTTGGCACTCCGCCCACGCCCACGTGCTCGGCATGAGTCGGGGCAGGTGAGACTGGGGGTGCGGCCTCGGGGGCAGAATCTGCCCCCCAGCTGCAGCCTGCTTCTCCAGGGGGCTGCTGGGAGGGGCCTCGGGCCGCGCAGGGGCATCGAGGCCTGGTGATGCCTGCATGCCCGCTCCGCCGAGCCGTCAGCCGCGGCCCCCCCGCCGCCCCGTCCATGGCCGTGTCCGGTGTCGCGAGGCGCTGAGCAGCTTTGCTCCCCGTGCAGCTCTCTGGGGCCTGGCCATCCCGGGGACGGTCCTCCCCAGACTTCACAGGCACCCGTCTGCTCCTGGCTGCTGCCGGGGTCGGAGGTGCGAGTCCAGGCCGCGGGCTGCCGGGCGGGGCCTCAGTGCTGGCTCCCGCGGGCCCCTCCCGTTTCTCTTTCCTGTGCGTTCACTGGAGCAGCCCCCGCCCCTCGCCGGGAAGCCCCCCGTCTCTGCTCATTGCCAGTCTTGCTCTGGCCCTGCGGCCGCACGTCCCTCGTCCCACCCAACACCTCACATGGGCACCTGCTGATGTCAGTCATCCGTGTTTCCTGGGGTGACAGGCGCCCCCTCCACAGCCCCCTGCCCCCGGGGCTGCGCGCTCCAGGGCACAGGATCTGCTGTAACAGGATCCACGTGCACCGGGGCTGAGAGCAGGCGCGCCGCGTCCATCTGTCCGTCCGAGAGCAGGGTGCGAGGCCCGGCCGCCTGCCCGGCCTGTGGTGCGTGCCACAGCCCCTGGCGCCTTCGTGTGCTCCCCGAGCCAGTGCCTGCAGGGACTCCGGGTGCTGGGCGGCGTCACGTGGGCAGGGGTGCAGACGCATCCTCCTGGGGGGCTCAGGCCCTGGCCTTGCAGGGGGCGCCCCTTCACAGCCTGGCGCGCTCCCGCCCGAGCCCCTGGGCCTGAGGCAGACTCGGCTGGGCCTGGCCAGGACCCCCAGCTTGCTCGTGCTGATGCCGGTCTCGCTCAGGCCATGCGGACGCTGAGCTGGAAGCACACGCTGGGCCTGGTGACCATGGACGTGGAGCTGGCTGACCGCACCCTGTCTGTGGCCGTGACGCCCGTGCAGGCTGTGATCCTGCTGTACTTCCAGGACCAAGGTGAGCCTGCTGCTCTCCAGGCCGCGCGCCGCTGGTGCCGGCACTGCTCTGGGCAGCTGTGGGGGAGGCCCGGTCCCTGCAGGCTGGGCTGCAGGAGGGCGGGGCCGGGTGTGCGGCCTCCCGAGCCTCCCGCTGTCGCCCACGCAGCCGTCTGGAGCCTGGAGGAGCTGAGCAAGGTGGTGAAGATGCCGGCAGCCCTGCTGCGCCGGCGGCTGGCGGTGTGGCTGCAGCAGGGCGTGCTGCGGGAGGAGCCGCCCGGCACCTTCTCCGTCATCGAGGAGGAGCGGCCGCAGGACCGCGACACCATGGTGCTCATCGACAGTGACGACGAGAGCGACTCGGGCATGGCCTCCCAGGCTGACCAGAAGGAGGAGGAGCTGCTGGTGCGCGGGGCGGGGCTTGGCGCCGCGCGGGGGCGGGCCTGGCGGGGGCGGGGCGGCGGCCTGGCTGACGGCTGGCTCTGCCCGCAGCTCTTCTGGACCTACATCCAGGCCATGCTGACCAACCTGGAGAGCCTCTCGCTGGAGCGCATCTACAGCATGCTGCGCATGTTCGTGATGACCGGGCCGGCGCTGGCCGAGATCGACCTGCAGGAGCTGCAGGCCTACCTGCAGAAGAAAGTGCGCGACCAGCAGCTCGTCTACGCCGCCGGCGTCTACCGGCTGCCCAAGAGCTGCGGCTGAGGGCCCTCCCCCGCCCATGTCCCCGCCCCACCACGGCTCCGCCCCACCCCAAGGCCTGACTGGCCCCTCCCATGGCCCTGCCCCTCCCCCAGGCCTGCCTTGCCCCTCCCACAGCCTTGTCCCACCCCCGGTTGCATAAAAGGTTGGCCACTGCTTCCCTGTCGTGGCTTTGTGGGCCCTGCGGGTGTCTCCCCCTCCTTCCCTGGGGCCTCACCCAGCTCCCAGCTGTGCAGGGCTGGGTGGACGTCTGTGCTGGGACCCTGGCCCTCCTGAGGGCCGCCCCTGGGCCTGCTGTGAGAGCAGTGCACTGGGGTTGGCTGGGATGCCCGGCTCCACCCGCCCTCCGCCGTTGCCGGCTGGGCAGGCTGTGGCGCTGCTGGGATGTTGTGTGGACTCGGAATGACCTGAGCCGGAACCTCCCATGTCTGCAGCAGTGAGGGGCTGCGTGAGGCCTGTCCCCAGGCGTCCACTGCCCACACCGGGGGGGGGGGGGGCTACGGAACCCAGGAAAGTGACTTCCGTGTCCCTGAGATGAGTGATCACGCATGTGGGTGAGGGCCCAGGGAGCGGGCTCAGCGCCCCTGGCCGGGGCAGGTCCTTGCCCAGGGTGCAGCCCAGCCTGGGTGTCTGGAAGCTGAGCTGAGCAGGCAGGGGAGAGGCCCACCCCTGTGCCTCTCCCGTCCTGCCCTGCGCCCCGTCCCCCTCCTGATCCCCCATGCTCAGCTGCTTCCCCACACCCAACCCCACATCTCCCGCTCTGCCCTGGTCTGCATGTGGCCCTCAGTGGCGTGGCAGCCCCTCAGCCACTTCCTCCTCCTCGCTGCCCTGCGGCTTGGGGGAAGCGGCAGGTGGGGGGCGGGCACGGGACCTGGTGTCGCTGGCCCCCGCCAGCTGCCAGCCCTGGGCTCCACCTCCTCCCCTCCCCCACCCGGGCGCCATGGCTGTCGGTGCTGTTGGGAACAGAGGGACTGCTCTGAGCGCTGGTGACACACGTGTTCCCCTCCGTCCATGGCCACCGCCTGACCAGGATGCAAACCTGCCGGGCTGGCCTGGCAGGGTGGCGGTGCCAGCCGCTGGCTCCGGGAACACTTTGTACTTGGTGTCCCTTGGATTTGTTCTGGAGCAGGGTGTGTCCCGGGTCACAGCATCACTCAGCAGGTGCGCTGGCAGGTCCCCCAGGGATCCCAGCAGGAGGACACCTGTGTTGGCAGTCAGGCGGCCTCTGGTGGCCAGCGCCAGGGGCGGGGCTGCCCCTGCCACCCTGTGTGGGGCCTGAGCTGGCAGGAGGCCCAGCCACCGTGTGCGTCTCCTCCTGCGGCCTGGTGGTTGCCACAGGTCCCCGGGGTGGGAACAGGGCAGGCGCTCCCCGCCTGGAGCAGCAGGTCCCCCTGGCCGTGCCAGCCTGCTGTCCGCTTCCCTGGGCGCTGCCTGTCCAGTCTGCAGAGGGAAGAAACCCGTGGGGTCAGCAAGCTCCCAGCTGCAGAGGCGCTTGGTGCCAGCAGCCACGCCTGAGCCTCCTGCTCTCAGGTGTTTGGGGGAGAGCGTGGCTTGGGGCCTGCTCCCGGCAGCTGGGCTCCCCTTGGGTGCAAGCAGCCGTCCAGCCCTGGCCTTTGCTGGGGGTGTGGCTCGGACTCTCCGGGGGTAGCTCACGAGGGCAGCCAGGCACAAGTGCGCTCCTCGGCCCCTTTGTGCCCCAGCCCTGGGGGAGGCAGTGCCGCGTCATCAGCTGAACGCCAAGCCCCCCCTCCCCCCACGCAGCCTTGGTGCTGCCGGGCCCCTGTGTCCTCCGTGCCAGGAGCCGGGGTTCAGGCAGCAGCGTCCCGCTCCCCACCACTGCTTCTGCCTCAGAGCTGAGCAGGGGCCCCAGGCCCACCCTACCTGTCCCTTCCCAGGGCCACCTCCTGGCACTCCGGGACGAGTGACCCTGCCCCCCACCCCCGGCCTCACAGCCCCACTGTGAGGTCAGCGCCTTCCGACGAGTTCCGTCCAGAGGTGTGCGGTGGGGCTGGGGGTTGGACATGGCCCTCTGTCCCCAGCCCGACTCCTGCCTGGCCGGCAGTCCCCTGGGCAGTCCCCTGGGCCTCCTGGGCTTGTCCCTGTGGCTCGTCCCTGCTGCAGGTGCCTGCCCCCAGCCAGGGCTCTCCCCTCCCGCAGGGTGGGCACGCTGTGTCCCTCCGGTGGCCGCCGGGGACCCAGGCCCTCCCCAGGCAGGTGACCGGGCCTCGGCCTCACGGCCCTGTCTCTGCAGCGGGAACCTACTGCGAGTGCAGCCTGGGCCTCAGCCGGGAGGCCCTCATCGCCCTGATCGTGGTGCTGGCGGGCGTCAGCGCCAGCTGCTTCTGCGCCCTCCTCATCGTGGCCATCGGCGTCTTCCGAGCCAAGGGGTGCGTGGGCCCCTGGGGCTGGGAGCCGGGGGAGTGAGGCCCTCGGTGTGCACGCGCGGGGGGCAGCGCCGGGGCTCAGGACTCACGCCCAGCCTCTCTCCTCAGTGAAACATGCCCGGGACGCGTGGACAGCAGGTGAGTGCAGGGGCGGGCCAGGGAGCCTGCAGTGTGGACGGCACCGCCCCGGGGCGCTGACCACACCCGCGTCCTGCAGGTTGGTGGGGCGCTTCGGGGTCCAGGAGGACCGCATGGACCTGCACACGGTGCACGTGGAGTCCCACCTCATGGACCCCGACATGGAGGTGTCGATGATCACCCCGCTGGAGGACCAGGGCCTCCTGACCATGGACCCCTCTCTGGAGGACCCGCCCCCACCCCCACCCCCGCCCCCTGAGTAGGGCCCTAGCTGCCGGGAGGGGATTAAATGGTATTTAGTGGTGGCGCTGTCCTTGCTGGCTTCCCCACATGTGCCGCGCCCATAGCCAGGGTCACCTTTATCTCCGCCCGGGGCAGGGTCCCCCCCCCCAGGAGTCCCCAGCTCCTTCCTGTGGCTCTGTCCTGTGAAGTCTGGGGATCCTGGGGCCCTGCCCATCCCATCCCCCCTCTGCCCCCCAACACAGGACCCACAGCTGGAAACATAAAAGGACACCTGGCCCAGGACTTGGGCTGGAGTCCCTCCTGCGCGCCCACACCGTCCCCTCCAGATCCCGGGATTCCTGGGGACCGCGGGGGGGGCACCGCCCCCTCCATCGCAGTGCCTGTGCCCTGAACTCAAGCCCCCACCAGCCGGCTCACTGGGTGGGAACGTCCGTTCTGGGGGGCACCGCTTGGCTCAGCCTGAGAGGGGCACTGGGTCGCATTCTCCGCGGAACTTCCGCCTGCTTGGTGGGTGCAGCGCTGCTGCTGAGGTCTACGCTGGGGGCACCGGAGGTGGACGAGCGGGGCGGGGGCCGGTCTGGTCGGCGCGGCGGCTGGCGCGGAGTCACGAGCCCGGAGCTCCGGGACAGGTGGCTGGCGGTGCTGGGTGTTGGCTGCGAGCCTGGCCCCCGCCCCAGGCGCGGGATCAGGCTTGGGACAGGAACTACGGGTGCCCCGGTCAGTTTAGTGTTGGTGCAGGCGCCGAAGGGACGGGTTCCCAGGACGCAGGGGCGCCAGGCCTCCCGCCTCGCACCCCCCCCCGGCTGCCCCCATGCGAAGTCCATCATTCTCCTCGTGGCCGCCGCCACTGCTGCTGCTGCTGCTGCTGCATCCGTGGCAAGTCTGCGCGCAGGCGCCCTCCCTGGCTACCTCCTCGGGGGTCTCGGGCGCCCCGGACTGCCCCGAGGCGTGCGCGTGCGCGCCAGGCGGCCAGGCCAACTGCTCGGCACTCGCGCTGTCCGCGGTGCCGGCGGGCCTGAGCCGGCGAGTGCGCGCCCTGCTGCTGGACCACAACCGCTTGGGTTCGCTGCCGCCCGGCGCCTTCGCGGACGCGGACGCGCTGCTGCGGCTGGACCTGCGCGAGAACGAGCTGCGCTGGGTGCACGCGCGCGCCTTCTGGGGCCTGGGCGCGCTACAGCGGCTCGACCTGAGCGCCAACCGGCTGGAGGCGCTAGCGCCAGGCACCTTCGGGCCGCTGCGCGCGCTGCGCACCCTCTCGCTAGCGGGCAACCGGCTGGCGCGCCTGGAGCCTGCAGCACTAGGCGCGCTCCCGCTGCTGCGCGCGCTCAGCCTGCAGGACAACGCGCTGTCCGCGCTCTCGCCTGGCCTGCTGGCCGGCCTGCCAGCCCTCGACGCGCTGCGCCTGCGCGGCAACCCTTGGACCTGCGACTGCGCGCTGCGCCCGCTTTGCACCTGGCTGCGTCGGCACCCGCGGCCCGCATCAGGTGAGCCGTGCGGGGTGCCGGCCAGGCGGCTCGGGCAAAGCTGCGGCCGCCGCCTGACGCCGCCTGTGTCCCGCAGAAGCCGAGACGCCGGTCTGCGTGTCTCCGGGGCGCCTGGCGCGCAGCCCCCTGGCCGCCTTCCCCGACGCCGCCTTCCGACACTGCGCGCGGCCGCTCTCCCCGCGCGACCTGGCGATGATCTACTTGCTCGGTCCCGCGTCCTTCCTCGCCAGCCTGGTCGCCTGCCTGGCGCTGGGCTCCGCCCTCACCGCCTGCCGCGCGCGTCGCCGCCGCCGCCAACGCACTGCTGCCCACCGCCCGCCAAGGAGATCGTTGGACCTCGACCCCGGCGGCCCAGCCTCGCCAGCGAACGCTGGGAGCCCCGCCGAGGCCTGAGCGGGCGCCCCCCCCCAGCCCCACCCCCGCTCTCCCCCCACCGCCCCTGCCCAGCGCCAACAAGCGACACAGGCCGAGATGTCGTGACATTCCTTTAGGCATCACCACTGCACACCACGTGGGGCGGGGGGCACACGGGCCGCGCGGGGAGGGCTGATGCTGTACAAGGCGGCGGGCGTGCGGGGCAGGGTTGAAGACAGTCCTGAGCCGGCGTCTGCGGAATCCGGTCCCGGCAGCCGGCCCAGAGGAGGCTCAGCCTCTCGCAGTCCGGAGGGGGAGGCCTGGGGAGGCGGCTGCCCGCGGCAGAGCCAGGACGCCCTGGGGGCAGGGCAGGCAGGGCCAGCCGGTGCGTCGGGGAGGGGAAGAAGTGGCGCGGGCAGGGGTGGCCCCGGCGGGAGAAGGTGGCGCTCAGCTGCAGCGGCCAGCCAGGGCCGTGGGCCCCCACTGGGGCTCAGGGTGGTTGGTGGCTTGGGACGGACGGGCTGCCGGCCTACGCCCCCCAGCCCCTGGCCTGGGCCCACTGCTCAGAGACCCCGGGGGCCCTGCCTCTCCTGGAGCGCCCGCGGCCCTGCCCAACCGGCTGGGCTCTGGCCGTCCTCAGCCGCTCCGGTCGGCACCTTGGTCCAGCAGGGGCTGCCCGCCAGGCAGCAGCGGGGCGGGCGGGCGGGAGGCCCAGGGTGGGCAGTCTCTGGGGTGGGTGGGCTTCCCTCAGGCTTTCCCGAGCAGCAGGACCCATCAGTGTCCTTGGCCGGGCTAACTGGGCAGGTGGGCGCCTCCGGGGGCCTCACACCACGGTGCTGACCGAGGGATCTGAGAGGTTCAGCGGGCCCGTGATATCAGAGGGGTGGTACTGCTGCAAAATAGAAATACACAGACAGCGCCGTTAGCCCCCCGCGGGGCACGCGCGGCGGCCGGCCGGCGGGCGGCGCGGCCTGGGGAGGCGCCGGGGCTCTGCGTGGGCGGGGCGCCGTCCGTCCGTCCGTCCGTCCGTCCGCGGGGGGGGCGTCTCAGCTCTCCCTATGCCGGGAGCACAGCTGCAGCTGGCCCTCCTCCCTCTCAATAGCGCGTCGCGGCAGCACCGTGTCTTTTTGGTTTTGCAAAGGGCCGCGTCCACCCCCGGTGCTCTATAAATAAGAACCAAGAATCAATACCCGCCGGGATCCCAGCCCCGAGCGCCCCGCGCTGCCCTGGCCCAGACCGGCCGCAGGGCAGGGGCAGACGATCTCAGCAGCCGGACGACCCCACCCCCACGAAGGAGCCCGTCCCGCCCCCCACCTCCCTCCGAACAGGTGCCCGGCGCGAGAAGGAAGGTGGGAGCTGGGCCGCCCTCCCACGGGCCCGGCGGCGCGCTGATTCAGCCCTGCGGGGCGGGGCGGGGCGGGGCGGGGCTGGGGCGGGGCCGGCCCTTGCACAGGGGCTCGGGGGCGTGTCCTCGGTCGGCCACCGGGAAGACCTCTGAGCTGCACCTGCCTCAGCTACAGGCGGGGCCGGGGCGGGCGCCCCCCTCTGAAGTGGCCACCACCTGCAGGACGGCCAGCGCTGCTGCGGGTACCTGGGAGACCCTGCCCCCGCTCAGACCTGCCCACCCCCAGAGCCTCAGGTGCTGCCAGCTCCAGGGACCCGCACTCCGGGACCCAGAGCAGCTAGGCGCTCGCTCGCTCTCTCTGCCCCCAACGTGGACTGCTTTGTGGCCTGGATCTGCACTGGGGTGGCCGCAGGTCCCTCCTGCTCCCTGGCGCTGCCTGGTCTGCTTGGGTCCTACGACAGCCTCTGCACACCTTCAGCCCAGGTGTGTGCAGCTGGTACAGGGACGAGCAGGCAGGAGGCAGAGGGCTTCTGGGCTCAAAACCGGGGCGGGGGGGGTGGCCTCCTTCCCAGGGGCCTCTGCTTCCTGGGCCCATGTCTGGGGGCCTCAGTATCGCCCCAGACCATGCAGGCCAGGGCTCCGGGGCTGCCCCCACCCGTTCTCAGACCCTCCGGGGACTGCCACCCGACCTCCCTGCAGGGCCCCTGCTCGGCCTGCCACCCACTGCCACCCGGTCCCCACCTGACACAGTCCCCTGTTGCCAGGGGCCAGTTCCAACTCCAGGCCCCAGCTGTCCACCCAGATGGACCCAGGCCCGGCCCCCAGCCCCCAGCCCACACAGAGACCACATGGAAGATGCAACACGCATGGCTCTGGTGAGAGGCGAGACAGGTGTCCGGGGGGGCGGGGCCAGCGGCCAGACAGACGGACGGGATGGGACGTCACAGCTGCCCCTCCAGGGCCGTGGCGGGACGGGAGCGAGGGCGGCGGGCTCCTCTGGGGGAGGCGAGAGCGCCAGGGCCGTGGCAGAGCGGGGATGGCGTGGCCTCCCGGGGGCAGGGCCGCAGGGGGCTGAGCTGTGGTGAGGCTGACTGACTGACCAACACAGGACACGGCTTCGGATGGTGCGTGGGTCACGGCATGGGGGGCGGGGCAGACACACGGGGGAGGCCGGCCCGGCGCGGGCCGGGGGAGAGGTCGAGAGAGCACAGCACCGGCCGTGTAGGGCGCAGGGGCCAGGCGGCCGGGGCAGGGGTGGGATGAGAGGGGGCAGACAGACACGGAGGCAGGGAGCGAGGGGGCGTCGGAGACGTGGGACCGGGGTGCTCTCCCCCTTACCGTGTCTTTGGAGGACCTACGTCTCTTGAAGCTGGAAGCCAGGGTGGAGGTGAGAACCCTAAATGTGGCTTTCTTTTTAGGGTCAGGCTCTGCTCTACCACTCTTTCTATCCTAAAATGAATATGTATAAGTGATTAGACAGCTAAGGGTGGCGCCGCACCTGCCCTGGCCTGCTCCTGGGCGGCCACTCGGGCCTCACTCCTGCCTGCCTCCCTGCGCTGGACGGCTGAGCCGGCAGCCAGGCGTGCGGGGGTGCGCGGCCTCTCCGCGGCCTGACCTGGCTGGCGCTGGGGCTGGGAGGTGGGCCTGGCTCACAGGCGTCCCCGGGACGAGGAGGAGGAGGCGCTGCTGCCCCTCGGCCACGCCAGCCGCTCCGCGCACAGCCTGCTGACCCCCAAGGGCACACACACCGAGACTCAGCAGGGGGCTCAGGGGCCGAAGGCAGGAGTCGAGATGGCCTTGGAGCGAGACAGGAGCCTCGGCCAGGTCCCCGGGGGGCCTGTGGGGCCAAGAGCGAGAGCGGGCGGATGACAGGTGTGGGGGCTCCGGCAGCCTGGCCCCCCCACAGCCCTCGGTGCGGTGCCAACTTCGCCTCCAGACACCGGCTCCAGAACGGCGCCCAAAGAGAAGAGACCAGGGCCGCGGCCTGCCGGGGCCCGACCCCCGCCTCGGCCCTGCTGGCCGGGCCGGAGCAGCCTGCGGGCCAGGCTCGGCCGCCTCTGACCGGCGTCACAGAGCAGGGGACGCAGAGGGAGGGGGTTCCCAAGGTGCTGAGAGGCCTGGGGGGTGGTCGGCCGCGGGCCACGTGCGGGGAGGGGGCCCCCTGCCTTACCCTGCCTGCTTTTCTCCTACCGGACCGGCACCGGTGGGCGGCTCTGGAGACCGAGGGCCGGCTGGAGGCTCGGAGCAGGGCGTGGGCCTCCCTCCTCGGCCTGGCTCTGCAGTGGGCGGCCACCTACAGGCAGCCCCCTCCCCGGCCGCCCACGCGGGCCCCCCGGCCGCGGCTCCCAGCTCAGGTCCTGCCCCCGGGAGCCAGAGCCAGTGCGGCCGCCGCCGCCGCCTGGGGGCTGGCAGAGGGCCGGGCCCTGGGCAGCAGGCCTCGCAGGGTGGCCCACCCTACCTGCAGGTTCTTCCGCCACACGTTCACGGCGGCGAAGGCCAGCTGCATCTGCTTGCGCCGCGCATCCTTGTGCCGCTTGTAGGCGATCTCGATGAAGATCAGGAAGATGCCGGCCACGATGCCGCCGGCCACCAGCATGAAGACCCCTGCGGGCCGGCGCCAGGCCTCAGCGGCTGCCGCGGCGCCGGCACGCGTGGGGGCGCGGGGGACGGGGCCCACCTGCCATGTTCTCGAAGGTGAGGGTCGCGGGGGCGTTGCTGCGCGAGTCACACTCCTGGTACCGCACCCACGTCTTGTCCAGGTCCTCCATGAAGCCGTTCTCGTGGGATCTGCGGGGCGGGGCGGGGGCTGTCGTGCGGGCGTGGCCGGGCGGGGCCTGCCAGGGCGCGGGGCGGGGCTTCCAGGGGCGGGGCCGGGGCTGCCGCGTGCGCGTGGCCGGTTAAGGCGCGGGGCGGGGCAGAGGCGGGACTGCCAAGTCCTGGGCAGCAGGCTTCCTCAGGGCGGGGCCGGGCGGCCTGTGGGCGGGGCCTGCCAGGGCGCGGGGCGGGGCTTCCACGGGGCGGGGCCGGGGCTGCCGCGTGGGCGTGGCCGGTTAAGGCGCGGGGCGGGGCAGAGGCAGGACTGCCAAGTCTTGGGCAGGCTTCCTCAGGGCGGGGCCGGGCGGCCTGTGGGCGGGGCCTGTCGCGGCGCGGGGCGGGGCCAGGCGCGGGCTCACTTGAGGATGGACAGCGACACGTTCTGCTTCCAGGGGCTGTCCTTGCGCATGCCGATGCCGAAGCCCGAGCGGAAGAAGAGCTCGCCCGTGGTCACCAGGTCGCACTTCTGCGACGCCTCGAACTCCAGCACCGCCGAGTCCCAGATGAAGGCGTGCAGCTTGCTGCGGGCGGGCGCGGTCAGCAGCCCGCGGCGGGCGCGCCCTCCCCCGCCCACCGGCGCCCCGCCCCGGACCCGCCTCACTTGTCCCTCACGGCCTGGATGGCCTCGGCCGCGCTCTCGTAGTTGTGCTTCTCCATGTGCCGGTACATGGTGCTCAGCTCCACCTGCCGCCGGAAGTAGATGTCCACCGAGCTCTGCTTCACAGTCGCGTAGATGAACTTGTCCGACGGGTTCCGCAGCTGCGGGCAGAGGCGCGCGCTCGCTCACAGCGGCCCCGGGCCGCGCCGCGCCCGCAGCCCGCCCGGGCCTCACCCGCGGGTCGTTGATGCCGGTGATGCGCTCCTCGGGCCGGTCCAGCACCAGGAAGGCCGCCAGGTTGGCGGTGTAGGAGGCCACGATGATCATGGCAAAGCCAGCCCACACCATGCCCAGGATGCGCGCCGAGAAGCTGCGCGGGGCGCCTGCGGGCGGAGGCCGCGGTCAGCGCCGTGCGGGCGCGGGTGCGCGTGCGGGCGCGGGGCCGGCGCGGCCTCACCTTCCCCGATGCCCGAGTTGAGCAAGACGCCCCAGGAGAACCACATGGCCGAGGACAGGGTCAGCGCGTCCTCCTCCTCCTCCTCGCTGTTCACCTTGAAGCGGCCGAAGGGGCTGCGGTGCGAAAGGGCAGGCGGGAGAGAGAGCGGCGGCGCGGCGCGGCCCGGCCGGCGAGGGGGCCCGCCCGCGGGGCTGGCGGCGCGGGCCCCGGCTCACCTGAAGCGGTCCAGCAGGTACAGCATCACGGCCACCACGTGCACCGACAGCCCCACGAGCAGCCACAGCGTGCTCTGGAAGGGCTGCATGAACGAGTCCAGCGTGCTCCGCGGGATCTCCTGGGGGCGCACGCGCGGTCAGCCCCGCGCCGGCCCGCCCGCCGCCCCTGCTCCGGCCCCGCGCCCCGCCGCCCCCGCTCCGGCCCCGCGCCCCGCCGCCCCTGCTCCGGCCCCGGGCCCCGCCGCCCCCGCTCCGGCCCCGCGCCCCGCCGCCCCTGCTCCGGCCCCGCGCCCCGCCGCCCCCGCTCCGGCCCCGCGCCCCGCCGCCCCTGCTCCGGCCCCGCGCCCCGCCGCCCCTGCTCCCGCCCCGCCGGCCCCGCCCACCTTCTTGACCAGGATCGTCAGGCCCTGGTACTTGAAGGGCTTGGAGAACTCGATGTACTGCGCGCGCTCGTTGTTGATGGTCAGCGGCGCCACGATCATGTCGGCCTGCCCGCTCAGCAGCTCCCCCATCATTCCGTTCCACTCCTTCTTGTTGCTGTTGTTGACCTGCGCGCGGCCGGGTCAGCGCCCGCCGGGGGTCCCCGCCCCCGCCCCGCCCCGCCCCGCCCCAGCGGT